CGTGATTATTGTACTTATGCAATTGATGAAGATTATAAACTTAGATGTTCATCAGAAGGAGAACATTCTCTGTACCAATCAGCTTCCGCAAGTGATACAAATATTTATCCATTAATTGAAAAATCCAAACACATTCATGATATCCCAATACATATCGTACGATCATCTCTTCCACATATTTTGGGACAATATGATACATCACCTACAGCACCAGAACTTGTAAACTGGTTTAAAAAAGGACAAGATACTCGACTAGAAAATGCTGTACATCTATTTCCAATGGAACAACCTCAAGTGATGATTGATATCGTCAAAAAATTTATGAAAGAAAATATGCGTTCTAATCTTTAAAATATTTTAATGCATTTCGTTTCATACATACACGGTGATTTTAAATAAAAATAAAACAGATTTTTTTTGATAACAGTAAAATATTTATATTTGATTATGTGTTATTATGCAAACTGTGATAATTGTGAGTTCGTGTATTGTTTTTTTAATTCATTATGATTGAATAAACAACATATTGTTGATAAACAAACAGATTGATTGAAATAGTATGCAATCTCATGAATTTTTCTTATATATTATTCTATATATATCGGATAGGTCATAAAAAGTACCAATAGCTAAATCTTTTCTTATCAATCTTTTTCAGATTGATATGGTTACTTCATTGACCCGTATTTTTCAACGGATGGCTTCGACGAATCCTAGTAGTCGTTTCATCACTTTACCAAATCGTCCAATTGTTCAGGCTAATGGTGAAACTACTCAAGGTCCACTAGAACTACACTATTGGGAATGGAAAGGCCATCAACCGACAATACTCTTCTGTCATGCTGCTTCATTTCATGGTCGATGTTATGATCGTATTATAAACGAAGCATTACACGGTTATCATGTGATTTCTTTAGACTTTCGTGGTCATGGTCGGTCACAAAAACATCCACCTCCATATCGTTTTCGATGGTTTGGTGAAGATGTTTTACATTTTATCGAAACATTAAATCTTTCGAAGAATAATCTTATTGGAATTGGTCATTCAAGCGGAGGGTTTGCACTAGCCTATGCTGCAGCAACAGCATCAAAACGATTATTTCAATCATTACTATTACTTGATCCAGTTGTTTTCCCTCGTACAATTTACGAAGATGCAGATAGTGCTATGTTTGATTTATCTTTTATTCTTCGTCGAAAAAATCAATGGTCATCCGTTGATGATATGATATCGAGATTAGAAAAACGTGATACATTTTCACGATGGCCAAAAGATACTCTTCGTAATTATTGTACTTATGCAATTGATGAAGATTATAAACTTTTGTGTGCACCTGAAGGAGAGGCATCGATCTATCAATCAGGTATTCAGCCCGATTCAAATATTTATCCATTGATTGAAAAATCAAAATTTATTCACGATATTCCAATACATATTGTACGAGCATCATTCGGAGAATCGGCTAATCCATTCGATTGGTCTGTAACAACACCTGATCTTGTGAAATCGTTTAAAAGAGGACGAGATACACAATTAAAAAATAGTAGACATCTATTTCCAATGGAAGAACCAGATATAGCAATTGATTTAGTACAAAACTTAATTAAAGAAAATAAACAAATTTTTTCGCATCTGTAATAGCTGACAAGGCAATAATATACATTTATGCATACGTCA